TGTTCACATTTTTCATCATTGTTGTGTAAGTAAATATTTGAGGACAATTAAGAGAAAGATGGACAAATTTGTAGAGTAATTAGAAAGAAGCAGAACAAACCGAACCCCAACAATTATGCCATTTCCGCAGAATATATCTGTCTTCTCTATCCCTTTTCATCATTTTACCTCTCATTCACAAGTTGTGAGAAACTGAACGGATTCGAGAGTGTCCATTTTTAAATTCTACCGAGAATTGCTGGACAACTCTCTTTCTAAGAAAATGGGATAGAAGGGAATGAATGGGTTAGGATGAAATGAGAAATGCCATTCAAAGTATTTGCATTCCATTCAAAAAGATAACTTCTAATTCCTGTGGCTATCAATAACTTTCTGTTATTGATAAGTAAGGACAGTGATAGCGTATCCTTATTATCACTACTGTGTGACAACCGAAGTGCAATAATGTTGAATCCTGCTAATCCCACTCTTTGACATATGTCAAAAACAATGACAATGTGTAGGAAGGAGACACATGTGGAGAGCACTTCCGAGGGATTAGTGCCTCTGCTCCCGATGCTTAGTTAATATCCATCTAATTGCTGCATAAACATTGGTTGCTAAGCTTATTATATTATGGTAATGCATGGACAATGATAACACAGTAATAAATATAGACTGATCATTTGTAGGCAAATAATCGGAACTGATGGGCATTTGATATTTCTCGTTGTTTAGATGGCATTTACGGAGTATCTGAAGAAGAATTGTCGATAATATACTTGAAGAATATTGAAATTTCAAAGGGATAAGGAACGAGAAGAGGTGCAGGTTACGAGAAGAGGTGCAGGTAGGAAATGAGGTGTCACCGTCTCCTTTCAAGAATAATTCTGATAGCAATTAGCTAAGAACATGTTGCAGGAAATAGTGGAATTGAACAGGATGAAGTTTCAGGGAAGTACTTGGATTGAAGTAAACAGCCAATTGCCACACTATGAGAAAAGAGGTCTCGGGACATCGAGATGGGTGGATGTAGCAAGTGAGAACGATGTCATTGCACACCTGCAGTACCGGTTGTTTGCAGCTGTAAGCTGAAGATTAAACAAACGGAAAGGATCACCGTTTGTCCACTGTCAATACTGTTCACCTCTGTTACTCTTCTCTTCGAAACAATTACCGATTAATAATGATTCGATAGTGGTTCGATCTCAGTGATAATTAATAAAGTTTATCAATTTGCATTTGCAAATGTGTGTTTTTGTAATATTCCAAAAAGAAAGTTAGGAAGTGTGTAATTAACTGTTGTAGGAAAATTAGGAAACTATGGTTATTTCCAGCGTTGAGCATTTCAATTGTCCTTGATTGGTTTCATAAACCTAATAATTATAACCTGTTACGTAAAGGAAATTTGAAACCTGTGAATATAAATACAGGCAGAAATCCTGTAGTTTCGAGTGTTCTCATACCGGAAGTCCGATAATCACTCCCTGGGAAGTCCATTTTTGCGGTAATATGATCGTTTTGTTGGTAGGAAAAGTTAATCTCTACTCAGATAACCATTATTTGATCATGGATAAGGCATGGATGATCTTATCGATGCTTACTGCAACTGAGATAATAATAGAAGTTTTAAGTTTAAATAATCTGTAGAGAAAGATTCATAGATACAAAGATTATAATCTTAGACAAACTTGATATAAATTATCCTCAAATAATTCTTGTTATAAAAGTAAAATGTAGGATGTTACTGTTGTCAGTACCTGAAATCTCAAAAATTTCCTTTCTCTTTTCTTTCTCTTTCTCTCTCTCTCTCTCTCTCTTCTATACCATATGTAATATAACCTGAAGGACTATTTCTGCGATCAATTCAATCTGAATTTGTCATTTCTGATTTCTACAGAAAAGATTCATCATCCCGTTAAAAGCGAATGAGCGCAAAGTGTTAGTCGTTGAGTTCGTCAAGAAGTAAATTAGAAGAAACGGAGAGAAATAATTGCAAAACATACCACTTACACACACACACACACACACACACACACACACACACACATACATATACATACACATACACACATACATACATACACACATAATACTTAAGGATGTACAGCACTCTAATAGTTCTCGAATCATATAGAATATGCCGCGGTGACCATTGACTATCAGTAAAATGGACGCTGACTGTGACAGTTATCAAATGGACAGGGAGCAGGTCACTTCTTGCTTTTGAGTTCAGTACTAATACTCTCTTTGAGCGTATTGTGCTGCTGGAAATCAGCGCTAATGCAACTGAGAAATGAAAAGTTTTTTCTTTAAAAGTACATGAAATAAGTTTAGCTATTCATTCCTTATTTAGTTGTTTGATTGAGGACTTTTCCATTAATAGCTGAGAAAGTTATTCATTTCAAAAACATCAAATTAACTCATCATAACACTGTACCGTATCCCAAGACCCCTGCAGGAGATCAGGTATGAGTTGCACTGTGGGATGTCTCCGAGGTTCACAATACTCATATGTGTTTATATTTTACTATTCGCTGGGAATTCTGCTCCAATCTGGGAAAAGAAAAGAAAAATTTTACACCTGCAAGTTGAATTCCATGCTAAAAGGCTGCTTATGAGTTACACAAAACACGCCGATATCACAAGGTGTCCTTTCTCTGTGGGACCTTCACGACACAGCTTTCAGTAATAGTGTCGTTCATGATCAACCACATCCGTTCTCATTTGCATTTCTAACTTTACAAGTAGTAATTGTTGCATGATCTGTGATAATAGGGTGTATCACTGATAATCTATGATAATAATATGTATCAAAAGTAGCTATTTTCTCTTATCAGTGCTTAATTAACAAACTATCAGTCAACATCTTCACAATCAGCATCAGCCAGCGAACTGGAATTCATCTCAAATGCTAGGAAAAAGTACAGTGGAAGAAGTAGTTATGAGCAGTTGTGAGCGGCCCTTAGTTAATTTGCAAGAAAGTTTTATTAGATTCATAAGATAGACAGACGGGTGGGTAGTGAAATTGGTCGGTAGGGTATTTGTAGTGGACATTTCGATGGGCTATCTAAGTCGTAAGCTATTGGATAAGACTAAGTCTGTAAGCCAACTCAGTCTTACTTTGATCATTACTCTGCAAGGAAATAGACAGAAACAGAGAGACAAACACAATTAAACTGACACCCATAATCTTGGGGAATAATATTTACTTACTTATAGATATATATATATATATACTCATACCGTATCCATACACCGCAAATCTAAGAAGCCCCACTACCCTCCTACTTGTCATGCGAATCCTTAAGTAGCCCAGTGAGCCAAACAATACAAGCATGTGTACAGATTGATTTCCGTGCGAGATTGGCCCATCAACAACTCTTTCTAAAGTAAGCTAGGATAGATGAGTGACAGGAAAAAGGGCGTTAGGTCTAGATGAGCTCTCACTAAGCTGGCCCCAGGCCTCATCAAAAATTATAGAGGGATTCTCTTGGGTACCTCATCATATGAAAACCAAGAGATTTATAAGCAAATATTAAGTGTACTTGATAGTATAACTTCCAGGAGCATTAGGAGAATACATGAAGCATGAAAGGCTTTATGATAACAAATTACTTGCGTGTCCTAGTAGTAAATATGAATATCGACAGTATAGATCAAAAAATTGTTTGGATAAGATAGCAAAAATGAGAATAAAAAAGTTTTGGAAAGGAATACAGAAAATTTGCATCTATTATCTGTGGGAAAAATTGGTCGTTCATACGTATAACTATTTGAAGTACAAATGCCTATTTCATTTATGTGATATTTTAATTAGTTGACAACTCACGTCGTCTTTTATTTATTCATTCAGGTTGTTGAGGACGACACTGAATTTTCAGTTATAAAGTGTGACATGATGGTGAAAGAGACATCTTTGCCTCGTTGGGGCTAATTTGCATAGCGCAATCGAATGAGCATAATAATAATGTGCAATGAATGGGCTAGCGATGCCCAAGGAAAGGCTTTTTCGTAGGCTATTTGTAAGCATGGGCATATGGACTGGCTGTGTAAATTGAGGCCTTCAAACAATTACTTACTGGCCTCAATTCAATCTGTAAATACATAATGTAAGTGATTTTGATAATCTATTATTTGCTATTTGCTCCCTGTGAATAGCTTCTTAATATCGGAAGAGGCGGAAGGAACGAGAGGGGAGCAAACGACAGATGCCGATGAATTAACGGCGATGGTGACAACGATGACAACGACGACGACGACGACGATGATGATGACATGGATTCAATTCATTTCAATAAGCAGCACTTTTCATCTCATCAATTGTAAGTAGAACCAGCCATAATCATCATCATAATAATAATAATAACAATAATCATATCGTCATCCAAGTGAGCCAAGTGATGAATGAAGAAATAATAGAGGGGTTATTTAGAATGAAATGAAGGGAAACAAATTCAAGCTAAATTTCATTAAAAAAAAATCATCAACAAAGAAATATTTTGAATTACAGGAGGTCATTTCAGAGTCTTTTTTTTTGAAAAATGAATAAGTTAATCGTTCAGGTAAATTTTTGAATTCTTTGTGCTACAATCATTTCTTTCATTATTTTTTACTTGCATATCAGAGTGGTTTCTTCTCAAATATTCACTTAATTTTAAGTAAACATCCATTGCATAGGATAAGCGTTTTCTAGAAATTTCAAATTGATCAGCTACTGATCAGGCAGATCGGATAGTTTTCAGTTTTCATGTGACTTTAATGATGACAACTACTACTTAAATGCTTCCAAACAATTTACAACACTGAATTCATAAACTTACCAAACTTACAAGCAACGTCTTCACCCTATACTGCCTGTATTTTAGTTTTTTTTTTTTTTTCCTTTATCATTGAAACAACGAATTCTACTGCTTGACAGAAAACCGTAATGAGGAACGGAATTTAAATATTTGAATTCACAAGAAAATGGAAAAGCTGCATTGATCAGGCAGCGAACAAATTGCAACGGTCGGGCGCATATGGAAAATATGCGCGATTATCTTACCGCTTTAACTATTACGATTGTTGTATGCATCAGTTTGGGTAAATTAATTAAGAATAAAATTTCAGACTTAAATCGGATCTCATATTTTAGATTTTTTTAGATTAGAATGTGAATCATAAGCTCTCTTTCAGCTAACATTAGTTTTCTTTTTCTCTCAAATCAATAAATAAGGATTTTTAGCGATAGCAATACCAATATTATGTTTCTGTATCTGTATGCTTCGATTTTGTTATATTGTCCGCAAGCAAAATAAGCCTGAAAAGGTGAAGTGTTCAAAAGAGACACCTCGAGGTTTTTTTGTTATCTACAGATCAAAAATGTAGATTATATGAGTTTATTGTCCTTTGAGAGATTGTTGAAATTGCAATGTACGTTAGTTAGTCTTTGCTTAAACCAAGATTATCCACCGGAATAAAACCAGGACTGATAGATCTCTGAATTGTGGTTCGTTCGACAGGTACAGTTCTGTGCTTGTGAAATCAAAAGATAAAAAATTAGTTTTCAATTATTGACAATATCCCACTATTATATGAGTTCAGTCTATTCGTAATGCAGTTATTTCGCCCGCGCCCACCTGTCTACCAAATTCAGTGAATAAAGCAAAATCAAAAAGTGGCACATCACAGCACTTTGTGACTGATCGGATACATACCGATCTGTCCAGAAGTGGACGACAGATTGCAAAAGTACAGGTATATCATCTCATTACCCACGACATTTCCCTATTAAATGGGAATTTTACCAAAAAAAAAAAAAAAAAAGTATTTGATTCCTTTCACTGTTGTTGCATTGAGTATTAAATGTATTTAATGGTTTGAAGCATCCTGAAATATTGCAAAAACAAAGCACTAACCTATTCTGAAACCGCTCTAGCTAGATCAATCAGGAAATGGACGAGTAACGAAGACTAAAAATGACCGTTTGACGTCTAAGCAGGACAATCGCTTGTAAAGAAGACACTATATCACTGCTTAATGGACAATAAGAGCGTAGCTATCGTTCATTTATTTTCCCATTTTGTGCAAATGGCATTTAATAATCTGTGAGATTGTTAAGGGATAGGAACAGATAAGCAACAATAACATGATTGTTTTATCAGTAGAATGATATGCAAATGAATTTCTCCAAAGGATAGCATAATGATAACGAGAAGCGAAGATACGAGGAGATGCAATACACTGTCTGGAGTTTGTTTATTGATACATCACTTATACTACTAATGAATTTAGGAAAAATTGTTTGATTTCTTCTGGTATAGTGTGACAGGTCTCGGAAGCTCAGGTACAGGCGAAAGTTGAACAATTTTTGAAAATGCTGATGATATTTCACGTTTATAGCTGTGATGAGTGCAGTAAAGCAGATAAGTTATCAGGAATGGTAATATATGTAATTAATACTGCTTATGGGGTAATAAATATTTCAGGCGTGAGAACTGTTTGGAAGTAAGTAGTGTAATTGCTTTCAAAATGGATTTGCAAGTACAAAGTGTGACGTCAGAATAATTCAATCCATTAAAGTTGGAAAACTAAATGGCTCAAACAGAGAATCGAAAAAAATATATCGAATATTGGGAATGCAAAAGTGCTGTCGTGTTGGAAATCTGGTAATTTGTCCGTAAACATTTTCTTCAATACTACTCGATCACCCCTCCTGTCCAACAGTTTCTTGGAGACAATAACGTAATTCGTCCAATTATTCCAGTGAAATACTCTTTCACAAATTTGGCCGAGAATCCATGATGGATCCTTTTCCGTATTAGAAGCACTGCTCAGACTCAAGCAATTCTTGATATTAAACAGTTGCCATATTTAATAGCGACGAATGAGAAGACACCAATAGACCTATGGACTCCTAATAAGCATTGCCATGCTTGACAGATGACCGGAATAGCAGCTATGCATAACAATTTGTCCTATGCATTACTTACTGAGGTTTTCTGTTCCTCTTATTTGATAAGTAAACCGAAGACCGGAACCGTTCCATTCTGGAAATCATCTGATTTTTTTAGAACTAATTCCTGTGTGTTAGGTGTTGATAGTTAGAGCTTTCTTCAAAAATAATGACATAATCCACCATTAGGCAAGGATAATTCTTACCTTTTAAACTTGTATGACCATACAAGAGCTGCGTTGATTGCTGGAATTGAACGTTGTGGTTTCTTGACATGCATCTTGAAACCATATCATATCTTGTTTCGTACTTCTTCAGAAGGTAGCTTACACAATCGATATTTACCAGATTACATTTTCCCTCAATTATTATTGCTTTGTTTGTAGAGCTTATTTCCAAAATTATTAACTTTTTAGCATCGTAATGAGGAGTCTTTCACAATAATGGCTAGTTCTCTGATATGGAGTTCTTGAAGGCTTGCTGTGCCAATCATTAAATAGTCAATTTACCCATCAGATTGCAGGTAAAAAATCAGACAGCAGTTTCTTACTAAAATATTCATAAAGACAAAAATTTCCATATTCCAACACGTCTGAGTGTTCGGGTTAATCAGTTAGTGCCTATTATGTAGCCAGAGTTACTGAATCCTAACTGATATCCTGAAACTCCTAAATTGCTTCCAAAAAATACAACGGATACAGTCGTTCTAGAATGAATCTGGTTTTGGAATAGGAAATGCCTCAACATGGACTAACTGATTTTCACAAATGGTTCTGATCACAAACACATATTCATGTATTGAAATATTCAATATGTCTACTGTAATAGGCATGGATCTATCCCTAAAGAGGAAGAAACAATTATAGAAAGATTTTCCATCAGATGTTGTTCCAGAGAAATAATAATGATTCATCTATAGGAAGAAGTAAGTTTATTCTCAACATATCGCTACCACTGAGTGCTAGAAAATCTCTCGGGAATGCAGGATGGATAGTTATGTGCACCGGTCTTTTATAGATTTTCATTACCGGAATAGAATGAGTCACTGAAAGCAATGATAGACAGACAGGTTAGTTGAGGAAAGTTAAATTGTCCCTTTATCATCAACATCACACACGGTGCCACGTTTTTCCGGTTCGGCAATTTGTTTTTTTAATTGCTCTGTCGCTTCTCTCTCCATCTTTTTGATATCCTCAATCGTCATATCGTACCATCGATCGGTCCAGCAGTATAACTCCCTGTAAAAAGTTAATATGTTGTGCAATCTCAACTAGTGATAACTAGGCTATTAATGTTGCCCATCTCTGACTTAGATACGCTCTTCTTGTTGTGCCCGCCTCATCCCATCGTCCTCATATAAAAGTTAGATGATATTAGTATAACGATGGCAAAAGGTTTCGTGAAGAGTCCTTAGGTTGGGTCGAACAAGAAAATAACGTTTAACGACCAGAAAAAATGTTGAGAAATATGCCTTAACATTTGACAGAATCTCCTGTACTGCCTCCTTTCTTACCTAAACTAAATTTACCGACACACTCCACAGCACTGTAGAGGAATTGATAAATAATAACTCACCGATTGAATTTTGCAAATATTCGCGGATACTGTCTCTGGAGAACGTGCTCTACCATTGTTTGGAATCCAAACATTTTAAAATGTACTTGTACTACCTGAAACTATGGCTGCTCTTTGAAAAACTGTAATTTTCTCAACAAATATAATTCCACTCGAATGCTATAAGTATTAACGGATCGAGTTCAACAGCATTCAAGATTAAATGACCGAAGATGCCACTTCATATGCTATGTGATCAGCAACAAGAAGCGAACTTTGTAACAACACATCACCGGTTTGGTTGTCTCAATCCAGTCCTTCGGCAATCTTCCACGGCCAGTCTTTTTAGACTCAAATTCACGTACATCTGTTTCAGGTGTAATATCCTGCAAACTTTCAATATTAGCCATTGTAAACATATAAAATAAAATAGGAAACTAGCAATGTTTTATTCTGCAACGTGCACAGCAACATGTCATTATTTCTATGCTACTGCAGTTGCAACTACAGGCAGTATTGCAACTGCACTACTGCTGTTAAATAACACCAAAAAGAGTCCCTGCTGTGGCTTACCGATTTTTTCAACAGGCTATCATCGTAGATATCAATGATGATTACCTCGCGCTTCTTTAATAATGCCGGGCTCAAATCCAATGCCTTAAAAAATATTGCTATTATCCATTCAGAAGTTATTTTCCTTATCGTGAAGACGTCCTTCTTCCTTCCAGAAAGGTGCATGACATGCAAATAATGCATTACGGCTTCTTTGCACTTAGTCCTGAGTGACTTAGAACTGAACTTTGCGTCCCCTTCTGTGACAGGAATCATAACTTAGTTTACAGGGGTTTTCTGCTATCACAACTTTCCAGACATAAGTGCTTACGTTTTCGGTATGGCCTTTATCCGGAAGATGCATCGATTCAATATTAATGTAGAAACCATCCTTCATATAATCGGGATTCTGCCAATATACATTTTCATCATTTTGTGCTAAGGAAGTACCGTAGAAAAGGGGGAATATGGTGCTTGCTAAGATCAGTGTGTACTGTCCTATATAGGTGCTACTTAACAAAAAAGGCAAGAACAGTCAATAAACTAACCTTAATAACTGTTTTACAATATGGGAATGCATTCCAGCATTCTTCGTGTAACACGAATGCTGCGTCAGGAAATATTTTACGGAACGCCCATGGCGATTTTGACTTAGTACGATAGATTTTGTGTGTGTAAATACCGGTGATAGAATGACCCGGACGCACCGTCGTACTTGTAAAACCGTCATTTTCCAATACCTGCAAAAAAGAGGCCAAACAACTGTATCTTTTCATATCTCCCTTAAATTTAAAAATTGCTATGCCTTTCTCCCCTGCTCTTTATTCTATCCACTTTTAGACCAAGTATACGAACCTCGCTATAAGAATATTAAAACTATTTTTCGGTAAGCTGGAAAGGATTGGTACTTGTAGTTGTAAAGCAATGTTGATTCCCTATTTTCTATATTCTGTTTGCATCTAACTAATGAAATACTGAATATTCACCGTAGGAAAATTCGCTAGACGATATACGAGTTTCTAGAAACTTTTGCCTCCACTTTCTTTTTCCTTCCTTCATTTTTGTTCCATTACCTGTTAAGGTGGCTTCTGTAAGGGGCAAATAGTTATTTCACTGACTAAGTCTCAAGATATTCTCAAGTGCGAAGCATCTTCTAGATCCAACCAACTATGCATCACTTAATAATAGAAGTACCAGAACACCATCTCCTCCTCCAGTCTCATTTTTGCTCGTCTCTGATACTGCAAATAACTGCCCACGATAATATTCATCCATCTCGAGCGGCATCAAAATGCGGAACTCCTCAAAATGTTGCTCCTTCAAATTCTAATGAGCTAACTGATGGATATGATTGGTTGAGAGTTCCTTCCAACTACCACAACAATACCGCCTCCCCACTTTGCATAGGACCCCTCTCTAAATGCCCATAAAACAAAATCAAAGAATCTCAGAATACCTACTTTGATAATCATTGCTAGTGCGGCAATCCAACGGACTGCTTCACGTGAATAAAAATATAAACAATGAGATCCATTTCATATCACACTTTACATTTATTATGATATAATAATAACCAAATTACCTCTACCACACCTTATCTCATTACAATAGCATAATGCTATGCTTTCCGATTCGATCACGCAAAGGAGTGAGAAATACCAAAGAGTGGAAGGAATTGCCGAGAAAATGAGATGATGACAACAAATGCTTCTTCAAAACTAACTTCCTAAGGTAACCAACCAATCACTTTGAGGAAATTATATCAGTGAGATATTTCTGAATAGAATTTTCATAACAAACATCTCATTGTGAATTGAGTGATAGATCGAAACTTGGATTGCAAAGTGTACGTTTCTGGAAGGTGAAGTGAACGTGTGTACGACAGGTGTTACGTCAGATTAAGTGTATGTATTCCGGATGGAACATATGATTTGTATGTAGATATATGTGGATGTGCCACAGGATTCTATGTTTCGTTCCATCGATCGCACGTGTACGTTTCATTCGGTGGGAACATACCGCTGTTAGCAGCAGAGGAAGAGGTCTTGGGAACTTACATGAAGTACGTGAAGCGTTACGTTTTCTCTTTATTAAGTATTATAAGTTGAACCGTGCTACTAATCGTACCTTGTTTTCACTTGTCATCATGCCAGAAATATTTAATTTAATTTAACGAAAATGCTCGATGGTCTATCTCCATCAATTATTACAGGAAGTGAACAGACGGTTCACACAGCGAATCGTGAAAAGATTACATCGATGGGATCGAATAAGTGAAAATGAGTGGTTCATGATCTACCGCGATAATTATGCCTCACGTTTTGTTTTACTAGTTACCCTGGCGGCACCCTTGATTGGCTTTTTGACATCCGAGAATTGTGTGGCTAACGTGAAAAGGGGCCGACTATGGAATGCTGTCAAAGATACTAACATAGTTCAGCAGGTATTATTTTTTAAAAATGTCGTATTACTTATGTTGACATAATATGATAGCTTGCAGATGGGTGTTCTTGCTGTACTGCCGATATTTTCGTTTTTGGTGATCATGTATTTGGCATGGCATCTGAATGCCATAAGAATTCATCGTATTTATATCAGTAAAAAAGACCAGAAATTGTTTTTTGCCGTCATCTCTCACTATGGGATATTTACACGAAAGGTTAGCTGAAGTCTCACTCATGTTTCATTTTTCTTACGAGTCATTGTGAACAAAAATAATTTGAACGTTGAACTTGAATATTTATGTGGGAGTATGGTCGTTACATTTTAGGAACAGGGTCTGTCTAAGAATAACAAAAATATTGAGAAAAGAACCTAACACTGGATTTTCATTCTCGGAATTCTACTACTGATTATTTTTCTACACTTGGCTGAAAACTGTTTTAATGTCGTTGTATGAATCGGACAAACCATTGCTGTCTCTCCTACTCTCATTTTGTTCGGGAATCAATATTGATTCGCAAAGAAAAATAGCTGTAGTAAATTGTTGAATATTCGTCTCTTATTTCTTTCTGGACTCTTTTTTTCTTCCCTGCTTAATTCGAAGAAGGAAGCTGCTATAAAGTTGATTAGAACAAATGGGACGAAACGCTCATTTTTATCTTTCCATATCGAGAAGGGAAACTTTTATCTTACGACATTCATTGCGTCTAATTTCGATACCTAGTAAAATATGTGTGTTTAGAAAATCCAGCTATTTTCTTAGTTAATTTCAAGTTGTTCTGCCCCAAATTTACATGTAGCACTTATCTTTTTACCATTTCGAAATGTTCGAATTATAGACAATGCTTGAAAATTCCGCTAAAATTAAATTACTGTTTCCAGGTAAATATATTAGTTGTTAGTTCGTAGGAAAAGGAAATTACAAATAAAAGATTGGCTTCCTTCTGATTAGATTAATTTTACTCCTTAGAGATGGGCAAGAAACAGTCACTGTTGAATAGTAATGCATGGAAAATAGTGTAGTTGATATTTCTAATTCTGCTAATGGAGTAATTTTTTGTACATAGTATGGCAGTAACTAATGTAGCTGCAAAGAAATATGACGATTTTTTATAGCCTTATGTGTGTCAGTTATTGTTCTTTTAACTTTTTAGAAAGAATTTCGCCGGAATTAAATATATAATCGAATGAAAATTCAGTTATAGTTGAATTGAGTTTTCACAACTTTTAGTTTTGTCCAAACAGATAGTAGAAACTTTTAAGCAATTATTATATTGTATATTATGATATCAATTAAATTTCATTTTTCATTTTGTTAATTGTAAAGACAGAAATGATATCAGTTAACAGCGTCACTAAATTGCTTCACTTTTAGGTACTTTTCACAAGGCACAACGTTCGAATTCTGGGAAGTGCTGGACATCAGCTATGGTCACTTGTGAAAGGTTCGATCAAAATCAACAAACATCGCTTTGCGCTTAATGATGAAGGCTTCCGAGACATCCAACATCGACATCTGATGTTAGGGCGAAATATTAAACCGCCTCTGACTACCGATAAGAGTGAGGAAACAACGTTGTGATCCGTTAAATCCTCGTGTATTTCAATTATTAATTAACAGAATAACAATGTCTTTACCTCATCGTTTTCTTAAAGTTACTTAATACGATGACAACATTTGTGAATTTTTTAGGGCGAATCTATAGCTAGATGATTTTCGAAAAGCATCAGATTTATTGTGCTGCAATTACTCACTTTTTGTAAAGGCACAGTATTCGCTGCCGGTGAGAATCTTGAATCTTGTAAAAGAGATGTGAATATTTCCAGCAGTCACACTATCACTGCAGTTCATGATGGTTGAGAGTCTCTGAAGTAAAGCCATGAGCAATAATGAAGATCTGTCAATTTTTCTGTTGCTTCTCCATAGCAAGGAGAAGCGATAATATTTCAAGTATGAATATCAAGTAGATTTATTATTAAAATCAATCCATATATCATTTCGGATGAGGATACATATATGAATATAGGCTTTGACTGAAAATAATACTGGCACACACATATGGAAACAAAACAATCTAACATCTAAGAAATTCCTAATTCTCGAAATCAAAAAATGAAATTGACAGCAGAATGGCGGGAACAAACGAAGAATTGGTATCTGTAAGGAACTTGAAAGGAAGGCACTTTAAATATAGAACGCGTGGAAGTTAAGAACTGATAATGAAGTCTGTCAATTTTTACTATTCCCTATTGCAAAGAAAAGCAGTAGTAAAGAGTGACGGGGCACTTTTACAAGTGCAAAACATGGTATGCCAGGAGAAATAAAGCGGTAAACTCATTTCGGTCAATGAAGAAAGAACGGATATGCCTTAGCATAGCATTTTTAGCAGAAAATATAAAAAGACCATATTTCCCTCCCTAGCACTAAATAAATAAATGAAAACTGGTAGTAAGCTTTTCACGCCCTAAATTACACCACACAAAATCAGCTAATCTTCTTAGGCTTGCTCCTATCAATAATAATTTCTCATGCTATTCCTTCTATTCGAGAGATATAAGTGTTACTGTTATCTTCAGCACTTGATCGAGTCATGTTCTTTCCACGAAAATGCTCACTTCAATCAGCAATGTGTATCTACTTAACATGTCAACTAGTGTTCTTGATATATCGAAGCGAAAATGAAGGGTGGAGATAAAAAAAAGGTATCTATCTATAAGCAGATTCCAATATCAACAAGTTTTCAATAGTGTTGAATACCATCAAAGTAACTACAGAAAGGCACAAATGAGTAAGAAGTTTGCCTTTGTTTTTTGTCTTCCATTATAATAAACAGACATTCGATATAAAAAAAAGGAAGAAAAAAACGCAAGCAGGAAGCATGGGAAACAGCTGTCAAAGAGAAGCTCCTGAGTTGGTGTTTGTTGGTTTTCCTTTTTCTTCGAATGTAAATTGTTGATCATTTGCAGGGAAGAAGCGCCTTGGCGAATGCATTTCGAATGTTTGGAATGAATCGCGCAATTCTTCTAGCTCTGACGACGATAGCTAGAAAATCTATGATCAAATCTGCTAATCAGCTAGTTCCAGGAGTAAAAGCGCAATCAAGTTCATCCAAGACAAAATCATGATAACATCAATAAAGCCTACCGGCTCGATCTTGTCAGCAGTACTCTGCTCGACCAGCATTTTTCCTGACAGAATTCGTTTCAGTTCGGAACAAATTTGATTGAACCGTGACTCAGGCAATGTTGCCTCTTCGTCTATTGTGCGTAGCACTCCCTCTTCAGTGACTGTGTCGAAAAACTGATATGCTGCAAAATGTTTGAAGGAGACACTGTAGGTACCAAGCATGAATTAACTCCAACACCTTGCCCTGCAAAGAAGCCAACGAAAAAATCTATAGTCCGACAGAATATGAATATCACCGACTATTTTTTGATAAAGTAGATAAATACTTACTGTAGGCAGTCAAACATCCCGAGAGTTCCAAAGATGCTGGACTGAAACTTTTCACCGGTTTGGCTCCTATAAATACGTTTATTTACTTACATGACATATCAATATAACATTAAAAATATCATCATCAAAAATATAACCTTTTCATTATGCATACAAGAAATAAAATATGTAGCAAGAATTAAGCTTCTTAACATCCTGAAGAAGCACATGGAAGGCACCATACAAATATCTCTTCAATCTTTCACCATCGTTCTTCGACCTTATCTACTAGAAAATGCACGAAGAGTTGAGGGAGACTAGTAAAATTTTTGGAAAACAGGAAGATATGAGAAAGCTGATGATTACAACTGTAAAAAATGTAAAGAACAAACCAACAACAGCAATACGCGGGAAAATGTATGCAGTGACAAGTTGTGGAAGTACATTTGTTTTATCCTCCGATTGAATAGCGCCAGATGTTCTTAGTGGTTGCGCACGTGAGAAAAAAACATTGTGCGCTACTTCATGAGTGCTTAGATAGTCTGCACAACGTGCTATATTCCTGAAATTGAAAATTTTGGTGAATTAGAACGAAAATTCTGTGACGAGTGGAAACGAACAAGTATTTTGTTCCTTTCACTTTCCCACCTTTTATGAAGTATTGGACTTACATAACGAACTTTTCATATTGCTCTGAACCAGTTAACTGGAAGACAAAAGCATACGCAAACCATATCGGGCGCTTGACGACATATACATTATCGATGAGATGTTCACACCTCTATAAATCAGTTATGATATTACTGCTATACTTACTAGACACTTCAGTTTTTTGTTACATACGATAAAATAATGTGAGGATTTAGAGAGCGAATCCTAACTGCGATATACTTCACTGATCATGTATAACAGCGACACATGTAATAAAAGATATATTACATTAGCCTTGAGAGGTGCTACAAAGGATAAGAAATACAGGATATGAAGGAATAAAGATGTTGGACAGAAGCTTACGCGATTGATCAAGTCAGAATCATATGGCCAGGTTAAAAGATGAAGGTGTAGATGATTAATGGAAGCCAACGCCAAAAGACTGTTGAATAAAATGTGAAAGGAGTTATCCCTCACTAAAAGCATTATATCGGTTGCCAAACGAACTGCTACTTCGGACAAGATCTGCAAAATATTTCATTTAGAAAGTTAATGGGTCATTTTAAAAATTGAAAGTCACGCTGTTTTTTTTTTTTTGTCTCTATGGAAAATATGCGTAGTTTCTGTCATCGCACATTTAGAAAAGATATATATTCAGGACTGACGATCGCACCATCTGGAAAACATAGCGCCCAAATTTTTTCTTTTCTGAGTAATAATACTGCCTTCAATTAAGTAAGGAGCGAAATTTACCTGTGGTATACAACAATTTATGCATGGTAATAGCAAAGAATGTCCTCTTGCAAGCGGTGAAGCATTAACTGCAACAACATGATAATCCGATGTATCATTGCTTAGCAAATGGTCCTTGCGTCGCAGATATAAAAGTATCTTAAAGAAAATTCTATCTTGAATCACTCATGATCGGTTGATTTATAACAGAAAGGGATATATACATATATGCCGTAGAAAATTATATTTCAAAAAATTGTGAAAGACAGCAATAACTAATTCTTGATGTTGATCACAAACTGACCTCATCTTCTTTCAATTTTGTGAAATTCCATCTCAGATTACTAAAAGGTTCACGTAATGCACGGAAATGCATTGGTTTACGCCTCTTTTCTCCACGTTCAATATTCAGCTGAAAATAATAAATCGATTTTCTCTAACTTATTCGCCTATATATTAGATATAAAAACCCTTTTACACTAAAAACTGCAATTAATTCCGCTAAACTGTGCAGCAACAATTTTCTTGAACTAATTGTCGACCAGAAACTTCTCCCTAATTGATGTTATTAAAAATGATGAATGATAATCACCAGGTTCTCAAAAATGACACATGCTCATCCTGCACATTTTATCTTCAGTCTTAAGGAAGTATATATGTGGGTGTATTAAAAGTAAACTGCTGACCAGAATTGCATTGCTTCTGCAAACCAGAAGTACCATGCAGTCGAATTTGCAATAAATACTAAGTAAATAAAAGCGGACTCACTCAAAGAATATCGATATTTAATATCGTGACATCAATCAATTTATTAGTCTTAGTTTTGAAGCCAAGATTGGAAACAGTGATTGGGACATTAAACAATTTAAATAATCTGATCATTTTTTCCATTGAATTATAGCATATTATTGTACTACATAATTACTATATTATTGTAATGTAAACCAACCAAAAGACGAAAACAGAAAGTACCAGAACAGAGAATTGTAAGAGCTAAGTTTTTCTGATCAATGTCACAATGGGTCGAATCGTTATATATCCCGCTTTTTCTTAACTTACTGGAAACTTTCATTGGACTCAAGAGTAGCTTAACAACTGATTAGAAATCAAGGTAACAAACCTGTACCGAAAAGTTGAATTCACCCTCCAGCAGTTTGTACATACAGTTTAGATCATAGTTCAATACATTACGCTTCTCAGCATCTTCCCATCTGGATATAAGTATATCTTCGAACTGCAATGAGCTCTTAATTTATGAAATCTGAATAATTCAGTGAACTTTTCTTCGAAGTAATATGAAGAAATTAGCAAAGTATTTGTCAGAGAAATATTATGGAAGAAAACCAGGATAAAGAAATGTGGATGAAAGAAAAAAAGAATGTAGCTGAGTATACTCTCCCTCCAGAATAAAGATATTTAAGTTGAAGTAATACTCTGGAAAACAATGCCGGCTCAAAATAAACAGGCTAGTGCTTCTTATTTGAAAGAAAACGGACCAAACACTGCTGCAATTCAAAGCGAGAGCTTTCAGGTTGAAATAAGAAACTGATATTAATACAATATAATAATGTATTTCGTCCTAAAATATGTTTATGTCTCAAAAAACTGACTCACTTTTGAGCAATCTTCATTATCATTTGATAGAGGATTCCTTAAATCGTAAATAAAATTTGATGCGGAATAAGAGAATAATGAAGCGGACGAAATGCAACCTTGGCTAACAGGTGTCTGAAATTTGAATTGTTGCAAAAATAGTATAAATGAACAACTTGGTAATTATGACATATCTTCCCATCACGGCCGGTTTTTTCCACTGTTTCGAGCTGTCCTCAACTCTAATAATAAACCCAATGTTCACTACACGCACAACGTCTCAAAATAATATATTTCCCAATTATACAATATAATTTTCTATCCTTTCCCTTAACTTCAACGATATACAAGCTAGTCTAATTTTCTGTGACAACCTCAATACATTAACTTATAGATTTCACCTGAATAGCGGAGCCCAACAGACGGCTCTGTGATGAAGCGCTAAGCATAGCAATCTTATGATTTATAGTAAGTGAAATATGAGCCTTCTCGATGGCACGTGAACAGTAAGTATCGAGATAACTGCATTTAGTCCAATAAAGGACCTGAAAAGTCTATAAGTCACACAGAATTGGAAAAGCTATACTTCCTACACGGTATATACGTATACTAAGAAATATCATAATCATCCACAGAATAATAAAATCAACCAAATAACTTGACAACAACAAACTACTTTTACATAGAAATGGGTCACTGATACTCACACTGATAAATGCATTACTTATGTTTTGGTTAAGTTTCCAGTCCTTTTTTTTTTCATGTTCAATTACCTAACGTTCCTGTTGAACATTTTATTAGTGCTAGTATAATTTTAACTGCTATTATGTTGGAGATTGGAGGTGCTGGCTTACATTGTACTACTAAATGTTGAAATTATTAGAAGAGATTAGTAATTCGAGTAATAGTTAAATGCTAACCCATTCTTAAAATAACTTACTCTAATTTCTTGTACTCCTATCAATACATCTTACCACTTTTGTGTTTTCCTCCACACACGTACGCTTGTGTTTATTTCCGGACACGGGCAACGGAACTGTCACTCAGTATTGTTCTCCCAAAGTCTTGCTTAGAAATCTCGCTTATACATTCCCACTTCCCCAGCACACTGGAAGCAATGTTCTACCGATCTCTAATCTTTAAGGAATCCGAAAATCAGCGATACAAGCGATCTTGCAGACGGTCCAAGTGTTTTGCGGTTGGCCGTGCCCGAGCTGTAAAGTGGGCAGGTAACTCGGGAACAGTTGAGTGAATTGGTTTGAGTATCCATTCTATTCGAATATTCTACCTGTCACTACTTATTATTTACCCGTAATTCTACCCGTTTAGCTCCTTCGAAAAGTGACAGTATAGTCTGATAAAGTGATGTCGTTGTGGCCATCCCGCTCGGGAAAGCGACGACGGTCCGAGAAATGGTCCCGAGATAATGACACGATATTGTCACTTGTATCATTACTTGAGTGGGGAGACGTGTGAGAAATAAAGAAATGTATTACGCTGAATGAGTATCATGGCGAACTTGAATCTTTTTTTCCGTTTATTTCGTGAACGTATTTGTGGTGATACATTTGGCGTTAATGTTGGTGTTAGTACGTCTAAACAGAACGGAAGTTTTTATTGTGGGCAAAAATTGTTTATTATATATTAATATGCATCATTTTAAGAAAGGTCGAAGTTTCATGGAAGTTTCAGTTTATTCATTTATGCTCGTGTGTTACTTTGTTTCATTTATCGTGACAACTATTCTTTTCCAAATTTACTTGTAATCATTCAGTAGTGTGAGTTCTCTTTAAAATCGAGCTTAGATTTTAAGAAGAATTTGGTAAATAGGCCCATATACATTCTTTAATGTTATCAGTGAATGATCTATTAGAATTTGTTTTAATTGCTTTTCTATTTTGCATTTTGTCTCGTGCATAATCCGTCGCGCAGCGCAGCAACAAGCCATCATTCATTCGAATACGTTGTAGCATTTTACTCTGTCGTATTGTGATTCGTGATGGCGCTGAATCGGTATGCATTGGCCGCCGGAACTCGGCCCATGGAAGCTTCTATTTTACGGCGTAGTCAACCGACATATACAAGTAAACTCTTTCCCTTCAGCATTTTTCATTGTCTCGCATCGATTTGCTGATCGTGTCATTGATGCGTCACAGCGACGTTTAAGTAAAGTGGGAATAAAGAACAAAGTTCCTGATAATTGATCGAAACAATGGTTTGTATAGGAGGGATGTGAAAATTGAAGTTATGGATATAAAACTTTGTAATATTTCGTAACTTTAGTTAATGTTCTCATGAGCACTGCGAAGCAAGGAAGCAATGTAGTAGGAAGGAAAGATGTACCAGAAAAAATTGGATTTTTTACGAAACTGAAATGTCGTTTTCAAGGTTGGCTTGTTAATAATACATCGTTTTTATTACTGAACTCTTAGATTATGATTTTTGCATTCGAATCTTTCAAGTACCTTCATTTCCTTAGTCAGCATTGTATTGTAGCATGTCATTGTTTTATAGGAATCCCGCTGAAGGATGAAACGCATGCTCCGATATCCTTTATGAGGGATATCGGGAAACAGTATATTCCCCCACCTCTACCAGAGATACCAAAAGATTTCAAGGAATATCCGGAACGTGATTTGGTATGTTTAAAGATATTTTTTGGTTTTGTTCCTTGAATACTTATCTTCTATCAGTATGATGAATCAAATTGGATTTTACAATGTTGTAGTAGGATATTGATACGTATGATTTTCACTGCTTCATGACCTATTCTTAGGTGAATTATCCATATCCTGTGAAGCGTATGTATCCGCCGAAATTGCGACTTCTGATCGTGCCAGACAAATTTATGAATGATTTCCATAAATACACCGGGACATCTGGTAAACCCAATATTTTTCTTGAAATCAGTGTTATAGACTTCTGAAACAGTAAGATTTGGTACGAATGCTTGTGATTCCTTTGGAATCACATTAAGAATCGGCGCATTTTAATTTCGGTGACAAATCTTGGCTTTTAGTGAGCCTATGTCAGCGGCTAGTTTTTTTTCCCATTAATTTCGATTATGTAATCCAATAATTTCTCCATCATTAATAATACTACACTGATAAATTTATGCTTCTCTAGGACCATATGTATTCTTCGCGATGCTTTATGCATTTCTGCATACGAAGGGGCTATTTGAGATTGCCCACGATAGAATGAAGATCTTGGTCCTCCTCTTCTACTATTACATATTCTCCAGGGCCTTCAACTGTGAGTCCTCGCAAATTTCCTTATTTGATGTCTCTTCATTAATATTTTTTATATGTTCCTGCCTATTGCTAGTTGTTTCGAAAGAGAACTTACACTTTTTTTATCCGTTGCTTTTATTCAGTAGAGCTGGAGAAAATGGCAGTAAATTTCAAAGTGATAAACCGTGTAACTCTGTTGTTTCGTTTCCCATTTTACACCACTTTCTGTATTGAACAGTTTGCTTTATAGCTATTGGGAGCATCTACCATCTTTTTTTCTTATTTACAATCCGGACTGTTGCAGATCGATGGGATAAATATTTCTATGAAAATTGTAAAGAAGTGGAAAAGAAATACCTGGATATCATCGACAATAACTTCAAAGCAGTTCGAGAAGTTCAGGAGGTGAGATGCTGCATAAGTAACACAGTGCTAGCAGTGATAAAGTATTGATAGAGCAGTCTTTTTTTATTATTGAAATTCCTTCCTATATTGGAATATTCTGCAATGATTTTTTATTATAAAAAGGAAAAAATGGAATAATTTCGGCAGACACCCAGATTCGGAATGGGATTCCGACAGTAGTTTTGTAGGCTGGAATCTCGTTTTAGACATCAAAAGCTGAAAGAAGTGCTTATGCAGCTGTGAAGGAGTACTATCCAGCAATCTTTAAAGAGAATTTGGCCCTTCAATTAGAGTCAACTTATCGAAAAAACGTGGAGAGATTGACTACTGAGATGAAACGTCGCCTTGACTATTTACAAGAAACGGAAGCTGTAAAATATAGTTTCGCTCGTGACCACATGTTAAAATGGATCATCAAATCGGTAATTTTTATCCCAAACTTTTCCCTAACTTCTGCTTTAGTGAAATCTCATGCACTTTTTGGTAATATATGAGATCCACCTTCTGTCTGACTAACAAGAAATTGCGTACATTTATTCTATTGCCCAAAAGTATCGCTGTAATATTGTAAATCAATGAAAAAAATTTGCAGGTCCAATCGGAGATAATGGATAATAAAGAGAACATTAAGGAAAAATATATGGATACCTGTATCGAACAGCTCAAGGGGCTTTCTTTACAACGATAAGTAGGAGCTTTCTTTGTATATGTGTTAGGTACATGTGGCCTTGATGGACGTTATTATAAACTAAGATATACCGTGATAGTCCTAATGAATTATGCGAATGTCTTGAAACCATATGATAAAAACTAGGAAGGAGGAATATTCATATGTATGCATGAATTAAATGATTTCCTCTGTTGGTGAATAAAGTTTTCCCAAAAATTTTTGTACTGTGAACTGCTTCTTATCTCCATTGTGAAGTTAACAATACTAACACTGACATAGTGTAGATAATGGGAATATGTGACGACTTCGAAGCTGAAATCAGCTGTTTCTATCAAGATTAATGTTGCATTCATGGCGTAAAATATGAAACCACTACAAATTTATCATGAGTTTTCAAATGGTGGTGAGATCATCAATTGTTCGTCTATATTCTTTGTTAGGTATAAAAGCTTCCCATCGAGATGCAGGATATATATGTTTGTTCTTTTCGTACCAACTTCGTAGTACAACCTGAAAAAGTAATGCAATGGATTAGTTTTTCTTACTAAGGATTTTTGCCCCTCCTCCATTAAAGTTTGTTTTCCTTTTCTATTAAAGCCTAAAAGTCTTTAGTATTTTCCTTTAAGCCATATCAACTGAACACACCATAAGACACAAATATGAATGAAGCTGATCTGTCACATTAACTATTTTTCTACATCGATTAAAGATTTTTAAACACAGATTTTTAGTGTTGAAATTATTAATCGGTTCTCAATTAATCTGCAGAGAGATGGAAAGAAGTCATTGATACTGATTATACACCGTGAATTTTGATGATACCTTGGCTGGATGAGATTCGCCACAATCTACAGCAGCATCCTGCCTTAGCCGTATTTCCCCTGCGGCATCAAATTCATAGAGAGGGCCAGTTTTTCCCATTGCTTTCGTTACAATGAAATCTTGGAACCTAAACGATGACATTTTTATTTGCAGATGTACCTGTGCGGATTCTATTCTCTTTATTCTATATGCGGAAAATATATGATGTGTAGTTATTATGCATTAAATATCGGTAGTAAAGGTAACAGATTCAGTTCTGACAATTACGTTTTCATTGATAGTATGGAATAAAAAAAACTAACGTGTAGAAATGAGGTATGATGAGATCCTCCTTAACAAACATCAAACTCTCCGGTACAGCAGCCCGCGTTTCGCTGAATTCCCTTTTCAATAACTGCAAAAGTATGATTGAACTGGTGAATTTCAGTGGTTCTCTTCTCTTAGAGAGGAACAAAAAGTTGTGACGATGGTAAAATGTATAAAATATTACTTCAAGTGCACGGACAAGGAATTGTGATATTGTATTTCCTTTTTTCATTTTCAAGTCCTTCCGATGACTAGAGCCATCCCAATAAACGAATGCAATATTAATCTCCTCGTTTTTCTCTTTCTCTTGCAATGCTTGCCACTCTTTTGCGAGATCTTCCTTCAACCTTTAATACATATTCATTTGAAAATTTATTATTAAAAAATCAATGAAGTGAACACAAACTTACCTAGCCATCTCTTTTTCTCGGTTACGATCCGGAAGGAATGCTGTCTCCACCGTTGGATCCATGCCCATTCGCTGAAATTAGATTATACTGCATCTACTGGCAACTGGCAATTTTGTGATAAGCGAAGTCCTATAAGCATCAAAACGCCAACTTTTTTTTCTATTGGCACAGACGCTGTATCCTCTTCATCTTCATCACTGAATGCAAAAGAAAGCACTCGTTTCTGAAATTTACAACATTCAAAATTTTCAACACTGAAATTTACAACATTTTTACAACATTCATTAAATATGCATAAAATGAACGGAAAATTGAGGAGGCTGGAAATACACACAGGAAGATCACTAAATCTAAGCATGGAGTGATGGTGAATCGTGGACTAAAGACAAGTTCCTTAATGATATGGTAATGGAGCCGAGTAAATACCTTCCACAAATATAATATATGAATGCAAGCCGTTAAATTACAATCATCATTTCTCACTTAAATATGATGATGAATAAAAGCAATGATGTATATGAAGGGATATAATATTAGAACTTACTTGACAACCTTTACTATCGTTATCTGCACTTCTGATAGCTTCCTTCGAATTACCTTCAACCGCTCTTTGCAACTCCCTGCAGAATTATCAAAGTTCACATCCAATATCTTTCACTCACTGCATTTTCTATTATGATATGAGATTCTACCCTACCTTGACCTATGACCAAAACGGCTGATCAACATCCTAGCTTGCTCGTTCGGTTCTCAAAATATCCACTCCAATTCTAGCTTTATTTGCAGCTGTTATTATTGTATATTCAAAATTTTGAAAAATATTCATATTGATGAGTATCAAACATCGGAGTAATCCACGGTAAAAATTGATGGCAGGGCAGAACCTTGCTTCAACCACATCTCGTTGCTTTTCTCGCATTTCGTCCAGTGTCACCAGACCAACAGTGCTTGTTTTCAGAGAATCTTCTATAGCATCATAATTTGCGGTGAATTTTGTCGTGATACCTGACTTCACTGAAATACCAGAAGCTTAAATGAAGAAACAACCGAAGTCCTCTCATCGTGCACTAATAATTTAAAAATTAGCATGAATCACAATTGGACATTATGTCCTTATTAAAGAAAAAAAAGGAAGTCTTACGATTCTTCGTTTCTTCCTCCAGTTTTCGTCGTCTTTGCTCGATAGCTTCCTTAGCACGTTCACGTTTCTTGGCGATATGAATCAAACGTCCTTCGTCTGCCTTAGACATTTTCCTGAAGAAACATTTTTATGATCAAACATTGTTACTGTTATACTGCAAGTCGTGAGCCGCTTATCACACTATCAAAAACCACACATTTTTGGGAATTCCGAATAATCCATTAAATATACGAAGATATAGATCAATAGTAACAAAATAAAAAAGAACACAGTACGAATACACTGAAATGGAAACGATTTTTCAATGGGATAATTACTAAAAGAGTTGTCTCCAGTATAGGAAAGCTTTTTACCATAAGTGAATTCCTTTTAGCACAAATGAATAAATCATTATATATATTACCCTGAATATTGCTGCGTCCCGGTACAAATTTTAACTATGCTAGTCTAACTTTCAAAGATTTGAGTTTTCATAGTCGGACAAAACAAAACATATAATGGTTTATCTAGTCCTCTGGGCAACACTTTACTTCCTATCGTCCTGAACGCACCTTTAACTGCTTGGGTTAAACATGAATGGATAACGGTGATGAGCATCCTTCTTCTCCGAAGTATATATATCTAGGTGATTTTTGAATATGATAAACGTTGCAACCAACGAAGTTACGAATCTTTAAATGTAAATGATTAAATAAATCTAAAGCATATTTTGAAACACTGTAGACACTGTAGATTCAAAAAGTCCATATGCAGAAGTGTATTTATTTGAAATGCTAAGTTTATCAGCCAGTTACCTTAAACAGCATCGAAAGGAAGAAACATAATTACAAAATACCCTTTTATAGCGATTCATGTCTATATCCATTGAATCATACAGAAGCAGTTACTTCATTTTTTTTCAGTCTTAAAAAACCACAAAATACTATAGTGGATAAGATCCGAAGAGAATGAATTAGAATCAAATAAGCACGTGCCATGATTCCAGTGGAAAATCATAGCCATTAGCGATATGAAGAATGAAATCTATATTCAGTATATTCGGCAGTAAAGGGAACTGAAATTACGATTTGTGAAACTTATATCAAATCTCCTTCTTGTCTAGCCAAGACCTTAAAAAGACTATGAAAATACACTCCCACTTCATATTTCTTTTAGTCTTAACTGAAGAGAATGAAAACAGTGGATAAGAATCATTTTATATATATATGGATATAAGTACGCTTTTGAAATTCACCTATTAACCTCTCCTTTTAGGAGGGAGTTTAAAAGGCACGGATATTGGAGAAATACCGATGTACTTAAATTATTAGTTCATAATACCTGGAAAAGTTGAATTCTATATGAACACTTCATTAATTTTATCGATCTCAAGGCCAGTGGCATCCAAAGAAACTGGTGAATGACAAATTCCTTCCATTTCTGACCGTACCAAAACATTTTCGATGAGTATCAAAAATGAATCGCCCGATTAATACTGATGCGGAAAAGATGCCTCAAGTCAGAATTCCTTATGACTCAGATGACTTAGTGTAAGGCATCACTGTACCAAAGCAAAATGGCAATAATTTTGGCTTTATTACATCTCAGTTTGTTGATAAAGTTTACCAATTCATCAAATGAAATGAAATGAAAGACATTCACATACAAGTTTTCACATCTGTACACGGCCCATTAATAATCCGACTAATAAGTGAGTTACAAAACCACCTGACCAAATGTTATTTGATTCACTATAAAAGATGAAATGTTACTTGATCTACTAAACAAATGAAATACAATACTTTTCACAATACTTTATGCTTATTTAATAAAAAAATTGAGTGCAAACATGGAATTAGCCAAAACCGTTATTAACAGGTTTAATTAACAGCAAATAATTCTTGTAATTCTTGACAAATCTACAATAAAATACATAGCAAATTGAACTTAATCAACTGAACAGAGCATAAATGCAAGTGTATAAATGTATTTTGAGCAGTAAGGTGACTTACCATCGTTTCATTTTGAAGCCATTCCACGACCATCTCACTGGTTATTAAAGTTCTTGAGTATTAATTATCCTGAGAAATTAAATGGGTAACAGCCATTAAACACGATGTACTCACTTTTCTCTTCTTGACCTCTTCCCCGCTTCTCCTGACCCTCAGTATTCCTGACCTTCCTGCCCATGTCCTTGCTGGTCGTAAGAGAAACTGACTGACTGAGACAACAGATCAATAGCAAAGTAAATGAAGGAAGTGAGCAATGTCCAGAATACACTTGAGCGGACTATTTTCAAGTTAGCACGACTTCTCGAGAATTCAGGTTCTCAGATAAGTTGAGAAGACCCCTAGCAGGGCTAGAACAGTTCAAGCACTATCGAACAACATATCATCCTCAACAATATATCATGGTCATTCAGATGACGGCCAGCCGTGAAAAATGGGCGCATTGTTTGGCGATGTTGAGGCGGTAGTGTCATGAGTGGGTGGGTAGTTTGCTGGTGACATGACATAGCCGTGCGTGTTATGAAGAAGTATTTGTACCTGTAGCATTCACAGTCAAGTCTCAATTCTGCGTGTTCTGCAAGTATGCGTGATCGTCGTAAGCATATATAAAACTGCTGTAACTGCATTGCGTGATTGTCACTTTTTCTGTAAGCTGCTTTCTGCTAGGTTATCGTAATGACAACTGCACATCGACCAACTTTTGAACCAGCACGTGGTGGGTCTGGCAGGAATGAGGGTGATCTGTCGAAACTGTCACAGCAGTATTCAAGCAAGGATATGCCGTCACACACGAAACTTAAATATCGGCAAAAGGGACAAAGTCATGCAGAAGATATTAAGTCGCGGGTAAGGATATTAAGTTGAGTTTTTAAGTGCATTAGTTTGAGATACTAGCACACACAGTTTAAAGTAAAAGAAGAGAGAAGGAAGCATAATTCAAGTCAGATTTTTGAAGTTTGAAGGGAAACATATGCTACAGCTTTTAAGTTTTAATCTTTGCAGAGGCTGTGCACTGTACTTTCGGTACTTCTGTGCACAGCGTGTACTTTCGGCTGGTAAGGTAGTTTATTAATGCAGTGATTATTCAAGACTGTTCATTGTTTTTACAGGATTTCCGCCGAGAATTGGATGAAAAGGAGAAAAATGTAGGACGTGAACGAAGAAGTCGAGAAACTGGTTGGAATGCGCAGAAAAAACCAAGACTGGAAGGAAGCTTAGCACCAAATGTCCAGGACGAAGATGATCCATATGATGATGATGTTAATGATGTAATCAGTAATTTTGTTTTATATGTTAGTTTATTATGATCTAAATCTGTCATATCATCTATACTGATTGTAGAATTCGGATGAAGATGAGGATGACGCCGCGGAACTGATGGCCGAACTGGCTAGAATCAAAAAGGAAAGAGCACTAGAGAAGGCTCAGCGTGATGCGGCATTAGCTGAAGAGCAGGTAAAAGCCAAGTGATTTAGTAGTTAATAAATAAGTGAGCTTTTATGTCGTCATTCATATTTCATTTAATTCTGTTCATATACAAGTAGTTAGTAAGTAACTCTAATGACAAATATGATAAGCATAGTTTGTGTTAGAAGATAAACTGCCGAAAAAAATAGGGAAACTTTATGCTTTGTGCCTTGTTAACGATTCTTGAAGTGTTTTGTAGGAACGGATCAGGACCGAAAACATTCTACGCGGAAATCCACTACTCAATTCGGAGGCATCAGATTTCAAAGTATGTACGTCAAATTATAGACTGCAATAATTTCGGTCTAGAAATAACAGTACTAGTGATCTATAATGAGATCTGTGATGTATTGCAGTACATATTATTGTAAAATGAATGTTTGTTATGATTAGTAGTATATTGCACAGTCAGGATTACTGGAAATGGAAGCGGCAGCATTCGGACATCCGTGATATAATTTCAGTCAGCTCTGATATGTGCTTATTGTCAGACTTTTACTTTATTTTATTCATTTTTTTACATAAAATAATTAAGGTGAAACGACGATGGGATGACGATGTAGTTTTCAAGAATTGTGCGAAAGGAATCGAAGAACGCAGGAAAGAACAGGTTTTTATCAATGATGCCATTCGCTCTGAATTTCACAAAAAGTTTATGGAAAAATATATTAAATGATGGTTTGATCACCTTATTATGCACTTTTTTAGTCAATACTTCTTGTGTTCTCATGTTTTATTTGTCCCATAATGTATATCTGTGTTGTCGAATCATGTGAAAATACGATATTTCAAAATAAGCTGCAGTAAGTGAGGAAACGGGATGGAATATGAGTTTGTTCAATGGAACTGGAAATTAGTGGTAAAAAAAAAAGTGACAAAAAAAATTAGGCTGTTATGTGGTTCAGTTGTGGACAAGTATAGGTTTTTCTGGAAATACTGAAATTATACCTCTCCAAACCATCGTGATTGATAAGAAAATCGAAGATTTCTGGAATGTTGTGTATGTGTTTTTTATTTAACAGGTGGAAGTAAGCTGGATCTCAATGTTATTAAAAGAAAATAAAAAACTTGGCGGTGGAGCTGATTTGCAATTGTAAGTAAAAACAATATAAAATCTGATAAATTAAACACAGCACTAGAACTAACTGCAATTAAATTACTAATATCCAAATATAGATAAGTGCATTCTTATTTTTAGACCGATATTGTAACTTGCAGTTTACAGGTGTGACGCACATTAAGTAGTATGTTCCGGTGCAGAATATTTTTGGTCCTGATCCATTCCTGCAAAACTTGAATTCAAGAACGGTGTTGAAATGGCAAAAAAGGCATACTATTTACTCTGTGAAATCTTATGACTCCAATCACTAATTTTCAGTCCTAAAAAGTTTTTGCAAAGTACAATGTGGGATGCTTTTCATGCTCAATGGATGAAATAAGATTTCAATTTATTGTCGTTGAAAAAAGAATATACTTTTTTGTTTACGCTCATCCATGAATGATGCTGTGCCCTTCTATTGGATTTCACGGGAGATAACGGTCGTTGAACGATATCTAAGTTCATTCTATTTCGATAAGGATGGCTGATTGTCACTTGCTAAATGTCTCCAACTACTCTCGTTTGGCCCTTGGCCGTTTGACCTTCAAGACACAACTCACTCAGAAACTTATCACAATCTTTTGCAGCACTGAGTGTGAACAAGTCATGAGGAGAAGAATTTTGGCCATGTCATACCAGGAAGAACGAGAAGTCTCTTCTAGTCAACTATCCTTTCCTAAAATTTAAGACTATTATTTTGCGAATGACACATGAGCAACTATAACTAACTATAATTAGATCTGATCACAAAGTGTTTGAGAGAGAGATTCTTTTGTTTGTAATTGCTTTCCGACATGACACAGTTGTCAACTGCCTAGTAGTACTTTGCTTTGGCTCAGTTTTATCAGAATTCTTTCTCAGCATCAATTTCCTGAATCTCATTTCGTCGCACGTATCACGGACTTAGCAGAAGAAACGCTTTCTGAAGTGTCACGGAACTTAAACCAAAGCTCCGATCCCCTTGCTGTCACACTGTCACCTCATTTATAAGTGAAGTCATCAGATGAAATGTACTCAGTGAAGAAACTGTATGGTAAGGTGCAATAATTAGTTGCAAATCGGTCAACTGTTTATGGGCTAGAAAATTAATGCAATAATTAGACAAACGAAAGTGTTCTTTTCATGACTATGTTCGAGTCACCTGTCGTCATTCATGGTAATTTTGTCACATATTTCTAGATAGGTTTGGATTGCTCGGGAGCAGTTCCCAGTCTACCCGGACACTACCATTCTTATATTGTTTGAGAGTGGAGACAAGGTGTAGGAATGTTCATGGCCTTGAAACTGTCATATACTGTCGGAAGCTGTCCAAGTATTGTGACAATCCAGGAAGAGGAGAGAGACTTTTCAAGAGAATACTTACACTTCCAGTCATTTACCCGCTATCTCTCTGATTGCAGTCTATACGGGTGACAATGTTTGAGGGAGATACAAATATCATTAATTACGATAAATGAGTCAGAGGTTGGAGCTGTGTCATTGTCACCAGTTGCAAACTGGGAGAAATGTGACAAAGACATTTCCTTCAGTTCTCATTCCATCTGTAAAACAGAGAGAGAGAGAGAGAGAGAGAGAGATATATATGCTAAAGATATGACAGGAGACAAAAGAGTGTGTGTCAGAGCATTTCTTTCTTCCGATGGATTGAACTGAAAGTTACTTAATAAATTGTAAGTAAGTAAATTGGAGGTATCTTAAGAGTGGGAAATAGTTAATTCACTTGCCAAAATGAAATTATGAATGCGACAGTCAACAATGAATGCTTTCTCAAATAGCAGCGTTACATTTCGTGCAATAATTTCGGACGAAATTGAAACTATCAAATGGTTTGAAGCAATTTTTAGTGAAACAAACTTGAAAAAATAGAAATTATCATTGGAAGATAATTAGACTTCAAATTACAAACATAATAAAACAATCAATTCCATACGTATTCGGAAAATAAATGAGGCGCTAGTGAGAGGAGAATAAGCGCAAATAACTGGGATGGGTAACTTTTAGAAAATGTTCTGAATGTTGGGTAAGACTTCCTGCTGATCGTTTCCAACAACTCTCCTCTCCTATTGATCGTGTCATCTACCTTATCTTCTGCAAGTAGAGCTTCTGTCAGTTGAATCTGAGGACATCATTAGTGAGCAGAAAGTCTTGCATAGAATTCAGTTCATTCCACTCTACCGTTCTTATCAAAAAACCATGCCGAATCTTCCAACTGCTCAAAGACTACAGAGTGTGGTGACTGTCACCACAAAATCTGACTCAGTGTCACTTCATCGAAATGAAGAGAGCTTCAGCAACCCACTCCAATGAGATAGTCCAGTGCTTCTCAGATCATTCATTTCGTTATCACATTCGTCGGTTACACTGTCATCAGTGTCGTTTGGATAGAGGGAGGGAGGGAGAGAGAGAATTCATAGCAATCGACTGATCGATCTGAGGTCAATGGTCAAATCAGTGGGTGGTTGTAAATGGATAAAGCCTTAGGTTTGCTCGTGCAATCAGATTACTTTCACTCTTCTCATAGGTTACTATCAGTACTGATAACTAAATTCTTCTCTTTCAAATCCAGTAGCCTAAATAAGAAAGTTCTAAATTGCAATTCAGTGAACTGATTGATGCGAATTTGATGGTTCTGATGCCAATAACGCAAGTGCTATGTAACATTTTTAGTTATAACTAAAGTCATACTAAAAGAAAAAGTGAACGTTTCATAAATTCAGATAAACGATAAGTGTGAAAGTGAAGGAATGTGAGATGTGAAGAGAAGAAATTGAGTTAAATTAGAAAAGTCCACTAGTAGTTTTCTCTAGAGAAGGAGTGAGTATGTGACGTGTCCTTTACGTCTGGAAGACGTAAGAAGCATGTCGGATGGCATGACATGACATGACATGACATGACATATGATGGATTGAAGAATTTGTAACAAATGCACTGAAATAAGTTTAAATAAGAGTATTCAGTGGGATCATTAGAAACCAGTACGTAGAGAATATAAACCGGAATCAAGTTGGTTTTCGAGAAGTGATAATTTTGATATCGCTGTAGTCATGACAATCTTATATGTACCGACACATTGCGGAACAGGAAATCCTAACTAGTGCTTTCGGTCCTCAAGATATTCATGCTTCTCTGATAAAATGCTTTTTTAGAAATATAATATTTTGAATTAATTTTAAATTAACTAATTTTTGAGGAAAAGTTGGTACAGTATGGTGTGTTTGTCATGTGATCCCACACAGATAATATCAATTTCATTCTTCCGAACATGAGATCTCTTTTGATAGTGCTATTCTTTCTTCAATAAAAAAACCAAAGCGCAATTGTACGAACAATGTTAAAAGATATCGATCAAAAAATTGACAAATTAACGAAGAAAATTGGTAAGAATTATTTGTTGCATTTATAAGATTGTTTATATGATTCTTAAAATGTATCAAATAAAATTAATAAGATAACAGAATTAAAGGTACACAGAATTAGTCAAACAAAATAATGTCACTGTTCCATAAGAAGTAAACAATAAATTTTAAATTGAACATCAACAATATCAAGTGCCATTTTCAACAAATCAGTAATAATTAAATTCATTTCAACATTTACTACTCTCTTGAGCACATACTAACGAATGGCATAAAATATTACAAAAAACAGAGTAGAGGAAAACAAAGTGGAGCAGTATGGGATTGAACAATACGAAGAACTCTGAGGTTTTCCGGATTGTACCGATTGTCGAGTAACGGTTGCAGCTTTTTCTTCCTGATCAGTGGCCACTGTAGATGATTGCTTGGAATAATCTTTAAAAAATGAATATGTTAATCTTGAATTGATTAGATGAAATGAATGAAAGAAAAAAGATTGATGAATTTCAAATGAGTCATTTTAATTTCCTAAACTCTAAGCATCATTCATTTCATTATTTTAAAGTTATCCTCAACAATCGTCAAATTTCACGTCTTAGCGATATGTTTGCAAGGCAACTTCAAAAGTGAAAGTTATCCATAACTTTTACTTAAGGAAGACGACAGTTTCATATGCAGTGGCACCTGAATAGAAGCCAAGAATAATGCTATCTTTGCTATACCTAAGTCAGACTAATGTCCCTCTCTCTCTCTCTCTCTCTCTCTGACTATATAAGTCATTGAAATTTGATGTAATTCCATTTTGATTATTCTACGAAGTGTTCTTGAAATTTTCAAAATTCACAAAGTGTGTATAACTTGTAATTCACTGCAATTCTATTACTTTTCTTGTCTCTAACTTTCGCGTTGCTTAACGATTATTTTGCTATTGGCTTTTTTTTTTTTAAGGAAGGTATAATGAATGATGATAATTGGTGATGAAAAGAGGGTCGAGAGATTTAGAGTAACGTGAAGTTTGGCAGTTAACGTAACGTACGAAATATGAGGACTGATGGTCTAATGTTAATGGCCAAAGTTATTTAGCTGAATGAATCGATACATTACTGTGTGAGTAATGCAAAGCTGGATGGAATATTTCTTTCTATTGAAAAATTTTTCCAAAATTAAAGTAATATTTTATTTTGAATTTGTTTAAATAAATGAAACATTGTTTCTTTCTTCTTATCAAAATTTATGGAAGATGTTGATCAAACATATTCGACCATCATTTCTCATGTATTTGTGGTGATCATTTTCAGGATTGAATCTTAAAAAATTATCTGCTCTATCAATAAAATATATAGCGAAAATATAATGAATCTTTTTTGACAAAGTTCAGTAAATGTTTAAAGTGTCACAAAGGAAGTTAAAATGTTTTGTGATTGAATTGTGACGGAAACAACGTATTCCGGAAATATCGTTATACAGCCGGAATAGATGCAATTCAGCACAGAGAAATATTAACTGAGACATTACTCCCCACTAACTATAGCGAAGCATAAGGAAAGTACGTACCAAAATGTTAGGAGATATTTTTAGGCGAGCAATATCCAATGATAGTATTGCCTGAAGCTTAGTTGAAAAGCTGCAGCAAATGCGATTACGGTAACAAATGCACCTGCCTTGATACCTGCAATAAATCAAGTTGCAAGTCAGGCCGATGAACTAATTTCAGAAAATCCCTCAAAGAGTTTGTTTCGTTTTGAATAGTACTAGTCGGAGACACGCTATGGTAGCAGCTGAGAGGGATTAATCGCCTACAGAGGATTGCGCCGTACCAATAGCGCCGTCATTTTCTGCTATTAATAAGGTGTCTCCTTGTTTGCTCATTTCACGCTCAAATGATTATTCAATTCCACGCATCATTCTGCGACCTCGAAAAGCTACCGAAAATGTCACTTTAAAAGTGAAAGAGAATTCATTGATAGTTTTGAATAAAAAGAAACTGCAGAGATGGCTTCGGTGATAAAGCACAACTTTTCGTCTTCGTCTAATAGTCTTTGCAAAAAAACTTCGAACAATTTGGGTCATTAATAGTTCTTAACATCGAAGAGTTATTAATTTGAACATTTCTAAATTAAAAGGAATTATTTGAACATTTCTAAATTAAACATCCATTTTGCTATTTCTAAGATAATAAATTCTACATTTGTGAGAAGACACTGAATAACCGAATATGTATTACATTCAACTCATTAAATAATAATCAACAAGATGTAATCGCACAAATAAAAGGTCAGAGACCATCAAAATTTCAATTCCTTTGGTGCATTAGAGAGAAGAAAGAAAATGAAGGACGCGGTCCCCCTTTTATAGCTTTAGGGGACCAAATGTGACCAACTGAATTAGATTCTGAGAAGGTGCCAATGAGCAGATGCTGCTAATATAACAGATCAGATATGAAGGTGGGCAAATGTTCACCTATCGGTACCAGTCAATTCGTTCTACAATTTAAACAAATGCATTTGGAAGCATCGATCATCACTACAATCAAATTAAAGTTTAGTGATGGGTCTAAAGTTATCGGTCCTTTAGGTAGCGTCGTTTTTTGTTGAGAAGTTTGGATGAAAGTGAAAATTCCGAATATAGCATAAATGGATTGAACGGTGCTTGAGAATTTAAGGATGAAATTCAGTGCTACACACATAACTTGATCAGGTCGAAACCTTACCTGTTGATGAGGAACTCAGAAAAAGAGCACGGGCGGTAGTCGTCGTTGTCGTTGTGGTGGTGGTGGTTGTCACCTCGGGGGTACAATTATAGGCTCGACATCGTAGAAACTCCACATTACCCTGCAAATTTAAATCTTCTGCTTAATTAAGACAATATGTAAATACTGGCTACTACCTTTACATATCTAAGGCAGGTGTTTTCCGAGAACGGAATGTCCTTTCCTTGTCACTAAATCATTTTGCTTTTTGCTCAGTTAAACTGAGGTACAAAGTATAGGTGTCACAAGAAGATTGCACAGAAACCAGAGACACCCAGGCTTTTTCACCTGTTACGTCGTATTGCTAATGGTACCTTCATTAGTATTTTCTCTAGCTGCGAATTTCTTGAATACACATGATCTATAAATCATTATCGATTATCGATTACCGATAGATAGTCCATTGGTCATATCTAATGTTAGTAGTTCTGAAGGAAAAATTCGCCGATATCAGTGCATTAGGCAATATTTACGACCAGACAGAAACCAAACAGAATTAAATCTTAAAATGTCGCATTGAACTAAAACTTCAAGATGGATTGTCACTCATAACATGCACGGACAGAGATGGATCAAATGATGCGACAACAATTTCATATTTGTTTCCTTCTATCATAACTGACCACTTGTTTAATATGAAATTTATTCAAAATTACTGCAATTGCTTCGAGGTCACCGATTTTGACAACTTTCTGCTGGCTGTAGGACAACAATATTTAGTCATGGGAATGGAGACGAGAACGAGACTATAAATCATTGTTTGCCTGAACCTATTTCGGCCTGTCACCCATGCAGCGACACCAAAATGACTCTCATCCGTTTCCATTTAATATGGTTGGTGAAATCCGTCATTTATTTCGTTTAATTAAAAAATTCAGCCTAGTATATAATTTCTGCATGTAATTATAGACTATAATTATGCAATTTGAAGTTTACGGGTTGGATGAAGTGGAAATGAATAGTGCTTTAATTTCCGATTATTCTTCTCTTGAAAATTTCAAAGGAAAAGGAGAAATGAACTGATATATTATCGCACTATCTATCAGTTATTCAAATACTTATTAACTGCAGTATTGGATAACATTAACGTTGACATTTGTTTCACTGGATGAACTTTTAAAGTTATCATTCAAAAAATAACTCAAAAATTTCAACAACTTTGCTTTCTTCGAACGGGAAAACCAGAAGAAAATGGATCAAAGATCAATAGATGAGTAACTCTTTCACACCTTGAAATTTACCTCCTCTCAATATATCAAATATGCTGTAAATGAGTGTCATATAAATTAGATTATCAAAGGACATCAATAGAAATTGACGATAATGATGATTGACACATACCTCGGGAGTGAGTTGGCATCCATTAGTGGGATCAGTTAATTGACAGCGATCGCCATTCAATTTGTTCTTTGCACGGTCACGACAGCAAATATCGAATACCTGGGTGAAAATTACCTGTTCATAAGTATCATATGGATGGGTGGGTGGGTGGGTGGGTAATGAAGACCAGAATAAGCTGAATTAGGCTGAACTGAGTTGTTGTAAGTGACATCCGGACAGAAGTGTCTCAATCAACAGGGCTCAAAAAATACCTGACTCAAGAAATTTACCCGAGGGAAACGGGAAATAATCATGGGCTAATTATTAAGTATCTCATTTGTTGAAACAGCATGCAAACCACGTCCAAATCATTACCCTACAAAAGTTATCGCCAGCCAACTGAGCCATTTCGTCACATATTTCGACGTAATCCCGCATGGTCGGATCATAGGACTGGTGTGAAGCGGTAATGGCAACAACAAGAAGCGCCAAAGTCAACGACAGTATCCTCACAGCTGATGATTGAACCGTTCTCGTCATCGTAATCTACGAGAAATATTATCATTTCAGTATAATGAAAAGATTGTTGTAACGAACGAGGTATCATCCGTCAATTATTAATTTTCTCATTTGGTAGCACAGCATGTAAACTATGCCCAATTATTACCCTTCAAAGCTATGCTTTTGCAAAAGAATTTGCCCGAAGGTAAGTGAATGTATCCTTAACCTTGATTTTTGCAGATAGTTTATCTCAGGAGACAATCATAGTTTACCTATCAAAGTTGAGAAGTATAATTGGGCTGCATGAAAATATTCCAAAATAATATATAAGTATAAAATATAAGCCTTAAAATGACCAAGAAATTGCGACAAAAAATGCTTACTGTTTATCTAACAGCTTTGTTTATTAAGGATTGTTTTATTTGAAAAGATTAAATTTGAATTCAGAATTTAATGTATTTTGAAATGTAATAAAATGGAAAGAAGAAAAAGACAAATGAGAATTTCAGGATGACATTTCAGATGAATGAGCAGTAAGCCCTCGAATAAAATGCTACTGGTCGAATCAGTGACCATTTGCATGACCTCTCAATGGTTCTTCGTTCGTGTGACCCGTAATGGTTTCTCATAACAATTGGCTGTCTAGAATGGATGGTCAAAGGGCACTAAAACAAACATTCAAATTTGACATCTGTGTCATTACGGATAGATGGATGACTGCAGCTGCAGATGTCACTTTCATGGCTTGCACCTATGTATATTCCTGTTCTCAATAATGTGAGGATAACTTGAAAATGTCCTAATAAATAAGTGAAATTCAGACAGAAAAATAATCATAAATGGCCAATAACATCAGAGACAAGTAAGCAAGCATTATTTTCTTATGTGCCACATCAATGAGGCGCAAAAATGACATATTATAAGTATATGAGAAGCAAATAATAAACAAACAATACGGAATGAATGGGAAAAGAATATGCAAATAAGTGACGCGGTCACAAGGACTATCTATTCATCCCTTCTGACAGGATGGGTCACTCCGGTTCATAAACCTATCAATTTGGAAGGAGCTCTCAAGAAAACCTGACAGTCAACTGTTATATTGTTTCCGGAATTCTGGCTTTACTTTACTTGAAGCTACACACTGCTGTTTGTTGTGGCGATCTTCAGGTAGAAAGCTCATGGAGAGAATATGTAAAGAATGATTTAAATGATTTGAATAAGAAGGAAAATGACTCAGAGTAATGAATATAGAAATTAAAAAGTAACAAACTGATAAGCGCTATGAGTGAGTCGAGAGTAGTTCGAACTTCAAACTTCACAAACCCTTTCACTTGATGACGTTACTGCATTATAACCACTGCCTCCTTTTATCTTTCATCCTCTAATGGGATGGAAAATTGGGGCGGTGTCGCGGCATGTGCCATATGTCGTGCGACATTATCGCTACGGGAATTGTCACCCTTGGTCTTGTGCTGCCGTTACTGATGCTATCGGCCGATAGATCTGGTTCAAATGAACAACGAAAGAATATATTATGCTGGTCTACTGGCACTAGCTAAAATTTGAATCAAAAAGCCTTGAAACTCATACTTTTTCTATTCCGCTCTCGTCATGCACAATCTGGAAAGATGCGGTCCGCACCGTATAGATTGAGCAGCTTCGAAATACGGTACTGATTTGATCAGATAATGGAACTATGATAGGAAGAGGTGTTGTGGATGAGAATGAAATCGAGCTAATTTCGAAGAGATATGTCGAACAAATGAAAGTGACATCTTTCTGTCCTCTGCTCTTACCTGCCTTGTGCTCTTTGTCGTTGTCACAGGAGAAAGTATGAAGAAGGTGTGTGTAGCAGTGCTGCGATCACTTTTCAAAAAAGAAATCAATTCAAATTGAAATCTGAATAATTCTCTTGAGAAAGAGAGAGAGAGAGAGAGAGAGGAGGGAGGGAGAAAAAAAACGAACGATTCTTCAGCTTCTCGAGATGTGATATGTGTGGACAGCACAGCGTTAAATTATTGAACAACCAGAAGCAAAGTAACGAAGATTGTGAGATTAAAATTTGCTTGCATTATATCACACACGAAGAGAAAAATTGTCACCTCGACTGTCACATCGTCGTAATAACAACTGATCGAGATATATTACTCGGGAAAAGTCCTTCTGCTGTAAGAAATGGTCATTTCAAAATTTACAACACTGGCATATTTGGCAAATTTAACACTATTTTTTCTCGAAATTGAATTGTTTGGTTCAGCATCTCAGCAATTTATATTGATTTTCTTCATCAATTTTAGACTTTTCTCGATCAATCAGTTATATAAAGTAAGTTTTTACTGGTAATTTTCAAAATCGAATTAATTATTCATTGCAGAGGAAAGTGAACGGTTATCAATACTTGCATTCTTCACTACTCAGATTCGTTCACTTATTTGCAATACAAAAAAATGTACTTATAAGAAGTATTACTGACAGTACTTAATTGCCTACCCGAACACTGACAAAAATTAATTGCCTACCCGAACACTGACAAAACTTAATTGCCTACCCGAGGAATTTGATGGTAATAACTAAACGAAACTCTTGCTGATCCGAGATCACAAATTGTTCAATGCCTCACTACAAAAATATCAGTTAATAATGCCTTACTGATATTTTGGCTCACAGATGAGATGTATTCGAAGAGTTCATTTCTATTTAAAATGTATTATCCTTCGTTACCTAAATTTTTCAAATCAAAAAATAACATTTGACGAATGGTGCATCTTTTCTTTTGGATGCATAAATAAAGATAAGTCTGGAAGAAGGAATAATAAATAAATAACACACTGATAAACTGATTTTAAAATTGGAACATTTTGAAAGCTCAGTTTAGATCAATGGCTTAGTTACTGCTAATGTGTAATGGTTGAAGTGATAAAATGCTGTACCATTGGTAAGAATTAACTTTTGTTATTTTTTAGTAAACTTCAAAATTATTGAAAAAAAAAAAAGATCAGAAATTTAAAAGAAAGAATTAGATAGCTGACAAACTATCATTTTCACTGACCCACAATTTCAATTCATAATCTGAGAGCGATTAAACATCTGTCAAATAAAAGTCGGTCGTTCCAATGATTATAAATCGTTTTTTCCAGGTAAACTGATTAACGGAAAATTAAAATAATTACTCTCTTCTCTCTCTTAAATGAATAATAACTTGTTCGATAGAACCAAAATGATAGATACCGGAAAAATCGTACGGAATAAAGCACAGATACAGAAATGGAAAGATGAGCCAATTATTTGCTCGAATGGAGTGGCGGAGATATTTGCTTAATGAATGAACTGGGAGCAGAGTAAACGGAAGGTGAGAGGATTAGCCGTTAGCGCTGACCGGTAGGCCGGAACACCAGTCCTTCTGACTATCGGTTTAGTGTTCTTCCAGACATCTGTCCAGTCTTCTCTCATCTCCGTTATTATTTATTCCAAATGTTATTCTGATATCCAACGCTATTCATAGCAAAGAGTATCAGAACTCATCTAAAAAGTTAACAGGGGTCATCAGGAGACAGGGGTCATTAGGAGGCCAGGGGTCATTAGGAGGACAATGCACTTTCGAGGACTGAAATATTTGAAAAAGAATAACGAAACTGAAGTAAACATTCTAGAAAACAACTTAATTTGTCACATTTGTCGCATTGTTACCGTTCAACTGAACTTAAATTAGATTAATTTCGAAATGCAATAGCAGTAGACAGTAGTGCAGTGAAGCCAGAAGGGTCATCAGAAGGACGAATGAGACTCGGTAGATCTGTGATCAGTAAGAACAGAAATGTCTTAAGGAAAGGAGGAAGGACAAACTTGTCACAGCAAAGGAGACAAAGTGGAGGACAGATCTTCCTCCCTCAGTGAGTTGCTTCTTTCTGTCCATGAAAGGAAAGTGAAAATTTCATACTCTTTACAATAAAGTATATTCTGCACTGAATGTACTGAATTGAATTGAATTGAATTAAATTAAATTGGCATTGAGTAAAGTTCAAATTTAAATTAAGTCAGATAGCTTTGAGTTAGCTTACTCTAAACTACTTGTTCTTACTATTCCACTGAGGATTTTATTATGTTCAACCACAAGATAGTTTTAAATGACGTTCAGATCCCATGGGATGCATTGCGAAATTATTTATATTAAATTAAATTGACTTAAAATGAATTGGTATGATAGAAACTAAGGAAATGGATTCTGTTGCCAGCAAAAGCAGAAGTATAGCCTTTAGCATTGTCAGTGTCAGGCCTAACTGGAGGGATACTTGAAGGAGAGAAGGGAGGTGACAAGGAGTGTCGTCTCAGACATGCATGCATGCACATGTAATCCATGCAAATACACTCATACTGCAAAAAGTAATCTATAGCCTTTCTTTTTGAGGCTTTCAAAAAGAAATTTAGTGAGAAAAGGAAATGAATGAGAATAGTGTGAGCGCAGCTAGCGGAATTGAAGATAGTTGTAGTGTGACACTTGGTGTTATCGGGAGCAATGCTTGGTGACATCGAGAGTAATAGCTGTAGTAAAACAAATGTGTGTGACAGATGAAACATTGGAGGACAATGCTGAAACGTTAGCATATTAAAATGTTCCACTCAAATTGAAGTGAAGACTAAAGTGTAGGAAAAGTGATTGACCATTTCGTGGAGTGTGCGATTTGCTGACGTACGTTACGTAGAGTTCAGCTTCTCACTCTCGGATTTCTCGACATGCAGGAGGAGTATTCCATCACTTGAAGACAACCTCTGAGTTGTATTCGTTTCAGTTAGAGGAGGGAGCAATTTTAATGAATTCAGAGACGTGTATCCACGGACTTTTTAGTTTGTTCGTTTGAGGCACTTTTGATATTTTTTTTTATTATTTTAGTAATTCACTAGTAAACTTAGGAAAGATACTGAGAGAGAGAGGGAGAGAGAGAGAGAGAGAAATGGTATGTTTCTTCGAATGTATGGCTTTTAAGTGATGCTATGCTAATTAGAATAAAAATGGATCAAATGACCTAAAATCGAGCCAA